ATTGTCCTCATTTGTAAGTCGCTTTGGATAAAAGTGTCTGCTAAATGACTATATATATATATATAAATTCTACAACCAACTGCACAGAAGTTGATCACATTTTTTCGGTGTCTCCTCGTTTCCAGATGATACCAGTCACGAGGCTGAACCGTCCCGGAGCGACGTGTCGACTTCAGGCCTGCGGCACCAAACGTCACGCCCCTTGCTGGCCCTGCTGCTGCTCTGCATCTCTGTGTTCTTCACCTTATAGCCCCTCACCTGCCCCTCAAGCAGCCCTCGGGAGACCCCGCGCGTCCCGGCGCCGGGGAGGGCTTGAGATTCACCAGGAACACTTCTGCTGCGCTTTTGTTTTGTTTTCCAATATTTAAGTGGTCCTTCGCTGTCTTTGATTAAGAAAAGTCAATTAGTCGCGCGAAGAAGAAATTCAGATCGCCTGTTTAACCAACCGACCAATCAACTGCGGTGGCCGGTCGCTGCGGATTGGCTGCCAGGAGGAAGGGGGCGGAGTCTCAGATTTGATTTGGGTCCATTGGGAGCGAGTCGCTCTTTTGCGGGTAATTAGAGCACATGTTAAGAAACGCCGGAGGCCCTGTGAGAACTGAAGGTTTCTAGGTGGGTGTCACATAAAACAGACATAAACATCAACCCGAGTTCACCGGCTCTGCTGTTAGCGATATTATATATACACAAAGACTCTTGCCTTTCGTCCTTCGTCTGCCTTCCCTTAACAAATTGCAGAATGCATCGGAGGAAACGGTCTGTTATGCATCTCGCAGCAGGATCTTTCCCAATCGCAGGAAGACGTATAGTATTGGTTAGTCTGAATTTAGATTTGATTCTCTACTGCAATTCGAGGGACTTGTCTTAGTAGACCACACCACTAAAAACAATGATTTTGTATTTTGTAAGATAAACTTAACTGCAACATAAATATCTATATTTTTCCTATGACCTTTTATCAATTGATATGAGATATCAACATTAACGGATCATGGAAATTCTTTTCTTGTCATAACTGTGTGTCCGACTCCATTAGGAACCAAATATGGAAAGGGGCTCCGCATGATGTTTTCCCCTTTTACATGGGTGGAAAAAATAAGCATTTGTTTGAATAGGCCTTATACTGTACACTATACTAATATCTCCTGGAAGTGCTTCGAATTCAGCATTTCGATCGGGGAAATAAAGTCTAGTTTCATTTGTTTATTTCATTAATGCGTCTGTTTGTTCTGTAGCTGTTAATTGGTGCAGTTCTGACTCGTTTAATATGCTGATGCGACATACGCAAAACATTAGAACATGGGCATTCTCCTCCCAAAAGCCTTACAAATGATGGAGGAACCGGTGGGTGAATCTCACCAAACCTGACTCATGTTTCACTACAGAATCAAAAAATAAAAATAAGTACTTATATTTTGCAGAAACAAAATCAAGTATATATATATACATACATACAGAAAAAACAGTAATATTGTGAAATATTATTGCAATTTAAAATAATGGTTTTCTATTTTAATATACTTCAAAATATAATTTATTCCTATGATGTAAAGCTAAATTTTCAGCATTATTACTCCAGTCTTCAGTGTCACATGATCTTCAGAAATCATTCTAATATGCTGATTTATTATCAATGTTGGAAACTATTGTGCTGCTTAATATTTTTTTTGTCAATAATTCAGGATTCTTTGATTAATAAAAAGTACAGCATTTACTGAAAACAGAAATCTTTTCAAACATGTCTTTACCATCACTTTTTATCAATTTAACACATCCTTGCTTAATAAAAGTATTAATTTATTAAAACAAAAATAAACTAATAAAAAAAAAAAATTACTGACCCCAAACTTTTGAATGGTAGTATATAGTGTTACAAAAGATTTCTATTTTGAATAAATGCTGTTCTTTTTAACTTTTTATTAATCAACGAATCCTGAAAAAAGTATCACAGGTTCCAAAAAATATTAAGCAGCTAAAACTGTTTCCAACATTGATAATAAATCAGCATATTAGAAAGATTTCTGAAGATCATGTGACACTGAAGACTGGAGTAATGATGCTGAAAATACAGCTGCGCATCACAGAAATAAATTACATTTTGAAGTATATTAGAATAGAAAACCAATATTTTAAATTGCAATAATATTTCACAATATT